CCCCCTCCCCGCGCGCTCCGGGCTGGAGGAGGCCGCGAGCTGGTGGGCTCCTTGGCCCTGAAGGAGACCGCGTTCACCGAGGCCTTTCTGTGCCAGGATCCAACCAGGCAGAGTGGAAATGGAGACCTGCCTTGGGGGCGGGGGGGGGCGGTCTCCGTGCCCTGGTTGCGCTTTCTCTCTCTCTCTCTCTCCCTACGCATAATCCTGCCCTCTGTGCTGTTTCCCCCCAGGTTGGGTCCCATCGCTTCCGGGGGGGGGGCATGGGTGCCTCCAGGCGAAGGGGGCCGGCCGTGCGCCTAGGAAGGAAAAATATGCCCCGAGATGGGTTGCAAAGGGAGGGGGGCATCTGGGCCCACACCACCACCACCACCACCACCAGCCCCATGGGGAGGAAGCAAGCCCAGTCTGGAAGCCCCCAACTTGCACTGAGGGGGATCTGGGGCAGGCATCCACACACAGCGCAACCGGGGAGTTGAGCCGCAGTGGGAGCTCCCCCCCCCGCCACTGCTTTCCGCTTCTGGTTTCAGCAGATGGCTGGTTGTGGGGCCCGGCCCTCCCCAAAGGCTGCCTTCCCTGGGGGAGGAGCCCGCAGGTGACTCGTGTGCAGGTGTGAGGGGGTGGGGGTGGGGGCGCCTTGCTTTGCTCTCAGGTGGCTCAGGGTTCAGTACTTCATGGGCATGATCCCCCAGCTCCCATGTAAGAAATTGCACTCTCTTCTTCTTCTGGGACCTGGCGCCCCTTAGATGAGGGGGTTGCAGGAGGGGAGCCTTGAGGAGGACCAAGGGAGCCTTCCCTCCCCCTCACAGGCTGGGGAGGGGAGGGGAGCCTGTCCTGACTTTGGCCTCCGGGCTGTCCCTTCCCAGAGAGGCCCGGTTAATGAGGAACCCTCCTCCTGGCTTTGCCCCTTGACCTCCTCGCAAGGGAAGGCGGCGGAGAGGGAGGGCGCAGTTCTGTACGCCTGACCCCCCCCGGGAGCCTTCCTGAGTTTTGTGGCACCCCCAGGCCAAGGGGCAGCAGAGGACGGCAGCCCCAGGGGGCGCTGCCATGCGCAGGGGCTGTGGGTTGTGCAGGAAAGACACACACTCTCTCTCTCTCTCTCTCTCTCTCTCTTCAAGAAACAAAAAGGATGCACATCTGATCTGGGTTGGACTTATTGTTCCGTGCAGTTGAGCCACCTCCATGTTAGGGAAACCTTAGTCCATTTTCAAGGCGCAAGAAACATTCAAGGAGCGTTTTACCCTGGCCATCTCTCTCTCTCTCTCTCTCTCTCTCTCTCTCTGTCTGTCTGTCTGTCTCCTGAGTTTTAGCCCTGCCCTCTGTCTCCTTGGGTGTAGTAAAGGCCTCCTTGGTAGCAGTTGCACTGTTTCTTCACTCACAGGCTGGTCTCTGCGGAGGAGGGGGGAGGCTGGCCCCCTACCGTCCTGCACCCCAGAGGGGAGTCGCAAGTCAGATCAGCTGGTGCCCACTCCTCTCCTTGGCTGCCAACCAGTCCTTTCGTCCCGCCCTCCTCCTCCTCCTCTTCTTCCTCCTCCTCCTCCATCCAGCTCAACCGGTCTGTCAGGATTTGCAGGCAGGGAATGAGACTTTTTGGCCAAGGTCCCTCTTGCACCTTTAGAAAGCTTCAGAGAACTTGTGCAAGGTGGGGAGAAGAAGTGGGCCTCCACATGGCAGCCCCCCCCCCGCCTAGGCTGGGCCTGGCGGCTTTCCAAGGACCGTCAGGAGAGTTGTGCGCTCCTCCTCCTCCTCCTCCATCTGGAAGGGGTGGGCAGGGGGCTGGCCGTGTCCTGGAAGAGCTTTCCAAGCTGAGACATTTGAGCCAGAGGTGACACAGGAGAGAGATGCCGAGCAAGGGAGGGAGCGAGCGAGCGCACTCGGGCGGCTGAGTCACTCCCGCTTGGCTGGCTGGCCGGCTTGGTTTCCTTTGGCCGCTGGCCATCAGGTGCCCTTGTCCTTGGCCTGGCTGGGTCAAGCCCCAGTGCCCTCCAACAGCGGCTGAGGCCCTGCCTGGCCTCTGCCCCCCTCCCCCTGCCTCCTTCCCCCCCCCACCCTTCCCAACGTCCTCTGGTCTTGCTGGTCAGCTTGGGTTGGGTCCCATGGATGACCTTCCCTGCCAGAGCACTCCAGCCCCTTCCCGCCTGCTCATCAAGCAAAGCTGCTGAAAGAGGCAAGGCCGGGTAAGCAAGGAAGCTGAGGGGGGCTGTGCAGGGGGGGGTCCCCCTCCCTCCCTCCCTCCCCAAGTAGGGCTGGGGGCTTCTGCCCAGGGGGCAGCCTGCCTGAGCCTGAGCCTGAACCCAGTTGGACCCCTTGGCGTCCCCCCAAGGGAGCCCATGGGGCTCAACTGTGCTGCCGGCTTGCGTGACTGAAAGAGCCGGTGCCCTGAATGGGGTTTTGTGGACGAAGGGCTTTGACTCGGTCTCCGGGGTGTGTTTGCATGGGCTTCATCCGACAGAAAGAGGGTTACCTGTGCAGGTGGGGTGTTTCTGTCCCTGCTCCTGGGGGGGAGGGAGGGGTGTGGCAAAATAGAAGCACGAATGGGGCAAACGTGGCTGCTTATCTCACCTCTGGCCATTGGACAAACCTCCCTGGTGAAATGTCACGGCGTGTCCCGCCGTGGCCTCCGTCCTGCCCCAGGAAAGGCCCCTCTCTGCCCTCCGCCACAGGGAAGGCTGCTTGGCGTGCTTCGGCAGGCCCTTTAGACTCCAGGAGCGAGCTTTCGCGCACCCCTCGGGAGGCCTCGCGTCTTCCGCCCCAGGCCTGGAACGTCACCTGCCGAACAGCTTTGGGCAGGTCGGTTTCCCTCTGGTTGAACCGCTCGCTCGGAGGGATGGCTGAGCTTGCCTTCCTGCCGGCAGGTTCGGCCCTGCTGTTCTCTCTCTCCCTCGCCCTGACAGCCGGGGAGCTTATCCTGGTTCTGGTATTGATATCCGCGCTTTGGACAATGTCTTGCCCTTGACATTTCACCAGGGAGGTTTGTCCAATGGCCAGAGGTGAGATAAGCAGCCACGTTTGCCCCATTCGTGCTTCTATTTTGCCACACCCCTCCCTCCCCCCCAGGAGCAGGGACAGAAACACCCCACCTGCACAGGTAACCCTCTTTCTGTCGGATGAAGCCCATGCAAACACACCCCGGAGACCGAGTCAAAGCCCTTCGTCTCCACTGTGGGAGTCCCTGGGGGGGGGGTCAGGCTAGGACACGGGAGAGATGGACTTGGAGTTCCCACTCAGCCCCAGAAGCTCCCGGGGGTGTGTGTGTGTGTGTGTGACGGTAAACCCCCCCTTGAACACCTCACCCACCTTAGAAACCCTGCTGAGTTGCCCTAAGACAGAGGCCACCCGAGAGCACAAGCCCTTCTCCGGGACTTCACCATGCCGGAGAATGGCTTGTTGTAACTGGCTCACGGAACTCCTTGCCACCAGCTGCAGCGAGGAGGGCCACTAGCTCAGTGGGGTCTCCGAGCACTTTGATTGAAGGCTTGGGGGCTTCCAGAGTCAGGGGCAGGCCAGCTCCCAGCAGCAAGGCAGAGGTTTTCTCCTTACCTGTGAGAGGACAGAGAGCCTCTCACGTCTTCCCCGCTAAAACACGGCCGCCACCACGCAGGCCCCTTTTGACCCGTCTCCCCCCCTGTAATCCCAGACTCTGTAAACAGAAACGCAGGTACCAAAGACGCTTGAGAGAGGAAGGAAAGGCCCACCTTTTATTATACACAGTTGAAAGATAAGGGGATCCAATCGGTGCCGAAAAGATAAGGCACAACAATAAGGCAGGCCTCCTTCTCTAGGCAGAGTTTAAGCAGGAGGCCATGCGCGTCCACCTCTCTGGAGCAACCTGTATGGCAAACAAGCAAGCAAGCAAGCAAACAAAGGAGAGCAGCTACCTTAGATGACCCTTGAGTTCTACTTGCCCCTGGTTCCTCCTCCCCAGAAGTGAACGGGGCGCCTGCCAGACTCCCCTAAGCCTCCCCACCCCGCCAGAATAAAGAGAGAGCAAGCCAACTCCTCCCGGGCAGCTGCTCCAAAGATCCAGGAACAAGCTTGGCCGGCTCCTTCGTGCCTGCGATGCCTGAGCCGTGCGGTCACTGTCTCGCTTTGTCGTGGCGCTAACCTTTTCCTGGCATTCAACCAGCTTGTCGTTTGAAGGACGGGTCCCCTGTCGCTCGTGGTGCCTTGTGACGGCAAGGCTGACTCTCCGGGTGTCTCGTGATGGGGAGGCGGGAGTTCTGAGGCAGCAACCGCAAGAGGGGTGGTGGTGGTGGTGGCCAAGCCCTGGCTTGTGCTTGCCTGTGCGTACCTTTGCCTGCAAGGCACCTGCCTAGAGAGTCAGCAGTAGGAGCAGGAGGCTGGGCCAGCCTCCTCTGTGGTCTGATCCGGCTTCTGGGCTCTCCTTTGCCCATTTAAAAACCAGGGAGCTGCAGCTGAGAATGAATGGGAACGGCCGTCCAGAGCAGCCTGCAGTTTTTAGTATTTCCCAAATCAGGCATTTTCTCCAGGAAAAAGCAGCGTGACCAACATGCTGTAAGAGTAACAGCAGCAGTGTAAGGAGGAATCCGAGGAGACCTGGGAAGGGAGCAGACCTACTCGAAACTTCTGAATTGTGTTGTTATTACTCACGCACATGCCTGCGCATGTGCACACGCAGACACACCCAACTGCACGTGCGTCTCTCTGTGGCAGCTGGCGTCCCCCCTTCTCTCAGGGTGACCTATATCAGACAAGGTGATCCGGACGGACCCCAAGCAGGTGTTCTTGTGGGGTCTGCCGGGGACCTGCTTCCCAGGTGAGCGTGGCTGCCTTTTCCCGGTGCGGGTTTGCAGCCCCATGAGGGAGGTGGAGCTCCAGCCTAGCCCCCCCCCCAAAAAAACCCTGCCCTCTTGCTGCCGCGCTTTGGCCTCTGCCTGGTAGGAAGGCTGAAGCCAATCCCCAGACCGTGAAACCCCCCCTGTCCTCGACCCCATTCCTGCCAAGAGCAGGAGAAGGAAAGGCTGCCAGTGGCTAAAGAGCAGGAGCCGCGCCGGGGGGGGGGCCCTCTTGAGTCCCAGAGGAGGGGCAGCATTCTGCTCAGGTTCCCCAGCAGCGAAAGTGCTGAGGGCCAGCCTGTCCTTGCGGGATGACAGAGAGGTGGCATTTGGGGTCACCCAGCACCTTGCGCTGCCTAATCCCACTGGAAAGCTATGGGGGGGGCGCGAACACCTTGCCCAGGAGGCCACCTCCACCGAGGGGGCTCTGTTCTGCTTTGGCTCGGTGCTGGAGCCACAGCAACAGCTGTGACCCACTCTTCGCCCTCCTCCTCCTGTTGCTGCACGGGGGGGGGCCCTGCTCCTCTGCCCTCCATGTGACACCCCCCCTTGCTTCATTTCTGCAGGCTGCTGGGAAGTCGGTGCTGATCACTGGCTGCGACAAAGGTTTTGGCTACGCCTTGGCCCGGCACCTCCACGCCCAGGGGTTCACCGTCTTTGCTGGGTGCCTGCTCAAGGTGAGTGGTAGGACCGAATCCGGCTGGCCCAGCCGCCCGAGGAGGCAAGTCCAGACCCTGGCCTCCTGGGGAGAAGCTCTCTTGCAACCGTGTAAAGAGCTGCTGCTGCTGCTGCTGCTGCCCTGCAGCCTCCTAGGAAAGGCTGATGCTCAGAGTGCCCTCCCTCGGAATGGTTCGGGTCAGGATCAGGGTGAGGGTCAGGGCAAGGAGAGGAAGAGCAGGTCCCTGGTCTTTGGAGGGGGCTGCAGAGGGTCTCTCCGCCCGTTTAGGGCAGGCCAGAAGAGCAACCGGGAGAGAACCCTCCGGCCACCTCAGCCCCATGGGGAAAGCTCTCGGGGGTGGGGGGGGAGGTCAAGGGGTTGGCGTGGTGAGGGGAAGGCCTTGCCCCAGAGCAGGGGCCCCCAGAGGTTCTTTGGACTGGGATTCCCAGAACTCCCGGCCAGCACAGCATGTGGGGGAAGCTTCGTGGGCGAAAACGTTGGGGTCTCAAGGATGGGCGCTGCAGCCCTAGAGGCGGCTGCCCTACAGGGCTGGAGGGCTTGCCTTGCGTTCCATTTGGCGAAGGAGCCCCAACCGCACCCTCATGGGAGCATTTCTGGGGCCTGTGCCTCAGACCCACAGAGCCCCATCTGCCACCAAAAGGGGGGGGCGTTGGGTGCCCTGCATTTTTTGCATGAGGCGAAGGGTTCCTCCCTCTCCCCCCCCCATTCTCTGGCTGGAGGGCGGCTACATCCCATCGGCTCTCTTGGGCAGTGGGGAAGAAAGAGCCCCGGCCGGCCAAGGTGACCCGGCTGGCAAGGAGTGCCCGGCCACCCGATGGCCCTGCTCTTCAGCTGACCAGGCAGCCGGCCAAATCACCTGGCCCTCCTGGGCAGCGGCCAGGCCCAAGCTGTCCCCACCCTCTGTTCAGCAGGCGGGCAGCCTTTTCCCCAGGCCAGTGGGGGAACTGGTCAGGCAAAGGCCTGAGGAGAGGGCAGTGGGGGGGGGTCCGTGTTGGCCAAAGTGACCCGCTCTCCCCTGGCTCTTCTCCTTCAAGGCAGTGCCTCTCAAGGCCCCAGGCAGGCAAAGTCTCGGGAGCCCCAGGGATGTTGCTTTGGGCACCTAGGGAGCCTACGACACTCATGCTCCATATTGAGAGGGAGGGAGGGAGGGAGGGAGGAAGGGAGGGAGGGGGTTTCTTCCCTGTCCCCCCTCCCAGCCCCTGGGTTCCTGAACTCTGAAGTCCCCAGGGCAAGGTGGACTTCTGGCCCACCTGAAGAAAACCTAGCCCTCCGTTCTTTGTGCCTCCCGGGAGGCCACAGCGTTCTCCCTTCTTCTTCTTCTTCTTCTTC